TCTGCAAAATTCATAAAAAACTGAAATTTACGTCATGTTTGTGACGTCATTACGTACATATGACGTCATTACTTATGAAATTATTCAGTGCTTTGAAGTCAGCATATACTCCCCTGTTTAAGGACTTAATTAAATATTACTCCATCAAAGTTTGATTTTGGGGGGCAAATGTTGGTTAATACCGCATATAGTTCTTAGACAATAATTGGCCTAGGGGTTCTTGAGTTATGGCCCATATTCTAAAAAGTTAACGCACACCGCACGACGCACACCGCACAAATGGCCATAGCATTAGCTCTTTGAGCCTTTGGCTCAGAAGAGCTAAAAATGTTAATGAAATGCCCAAAGATGATCCCACTAATTGAAATTTAAAGTTGTAATTACATATCACTTTAAGAATACCCCTTTACAGGTGAGATTTTCAATGTATTCAAACTAAGAATTAAAAAGAAATATATACATGTACATGTGTGCAATCACTGACAACTTGACATATGAGAGCTTTCAACCCACTGACAGGAAGATAAAAATAATCATTAAATCTAAGTTGTACTCACGTCATCCAGTCGTCCCTTGCTTTTTGATTTGTCAGGTTTTGAGGACTTTGGCTGTTTTGGCCGACTTGATTTTTTCTGCCCCTTTTCATTAGGTTTCTTCACATTTAAGAGAGGGTGAATTTCTACAATGGAAATGATTTTATAAGATATTAATATTCAACTATAAAAAGTTATAAAAAAAGAATATATTAAGTACTACTTCTAACAGTACAAATGGGAGTACACATAAATTGAAACCCGTGGTCTGGGATGGTGACTCCACCTTTTATCAAGTGAGATGAAAAAAATAACACCCTATCTGTCATCTTCAGAAGAGATAAATGTAAACTCTATCCACTGACAAAAGAAGAGCTAAGTAAACCCTGCTAACCCATTAAATAGAAATAATGTTAAAGAGTCTGCAATTGAACTGCAGGAGAAATGAAGGACATTTTAGCCTACCATCTAAAGGAGCATCAGGGAGGTCCACTTCCAGTGTCTTGACTTTCTTTTTCTTTGGGGAGGGGGTGTTGTCTGTGTGGGGTTGGCTTCTCTTCTTCTCCTGGGCCTCCTCTGCCACCTAAACATATGACAACACCAACACAGATTCATAAATACAGTCATTCTTCACTTCTGCAAATCTCAGAAATCTTCTGCAAATCTGCAGATCTCAATTCAAAGAAGTCAGTAAATTCCCTGAAATTGTCGACTGGTAACTGAGTTTTAAATTTAAGAGACTGTATTTTATTTTTTTTTTGTAAGATTCTTATATTGCACAATGTATAATGTACCATTATAAGCATAAACTATGAAGTAAAATGCCATTTGACATTATAGCATGAATTATATGAAGTAATGTCATTTGACAATGATGTACCACAGTACAGATTGTTCTTACAGCTTCAGGAGGCAGGGCCCAGGCTGACTCCTCCGGTTCCTCAATGTCGGGTGAAACAGGAAGGTACAGTAACGCTTCCTGGTCCTCTTCATCCTCATCACTAAAACAGGAAATAAATTATACAAATACATGTAGTGCCAAATCTCTATCATTACATTATAATAGATCTCACTTACGTATTTTTTCTGCATGAGGCCAATGGTGTTAATAGATGAGATTTTGCTCAGAGTCTAGATACCTAGGGCCAAAAATAAAATTAGCTTTGTTTGGCATTGCCGTCCGACTCAAGTAAATCGGTGCGGTCCGAAGAAATTTTTTCAACTTATACGTATCATAATTATTTTTGGTCATATTTATCCGGATTTGGGTGTCTGTACGTTTGAGTAATATACAAAATAAGAAAGAATCATGTAAACACTTAATTGATCGAACAGTTTTCATTTATAAGCGTCTATGTGATGTCGATATTGGATATCACAAGTCCAAGGCATGGCTGTGGAAAACGGTAATGTAAACTCGGTATATCAGAAGTTGATGCCAAGACTCTCCACGGTATATGTGTGTCTAAAGTGGCAAAAAATATACTGACGAATCGAATCAGTTATACCATGCAGTTTCAAATAGAAACTTCAAGGAACAATGTCATGTCTGATTAACTGTCACTGATTTGCTGGATGAATCTAGCAGTCATGCTTGGCTTCGTGCATATGAAAACGACTTGATGCCAATTCAATGTCGGCAACTTTTTTATACCATGTATAGGTTTAAACTAATAGGGTTTGAAAATAAATAACAGTTGGAAATCAATTCGGACAGCAGTTGTAAAACAATCAGAAACCCATGACGCTCGAATACTAACAACATTTCTGAATTTAAAAAAAGAATATTTCCCCTACCTACCGACCCAAACCTTTAAGACTGAGTCGGAACGCCAAACGAACAATATTTTAATTATGGCCTAGGATTTCCATGCATTTATTTTTTTTACAGTGATTGGGGCATATTATGAAGTTATCTTTCTTTGTACATAAATTCTCACAAGCTGAAAAATCCATTCCATAACAAGAACTTGAATCTTTCCTGTGCATATCTAGCAATTTTGAATATACTTTCTTCACTTAGTTATTACATACATATATAAAATTTCCAGTGAATAAACACTACCTTGACAAATAACTAGTATTTCTACCTGTTTGTTCAATGTAACAATATGTAAATGTATCAGCATTACAAGCTATTGATAAAGTACCGAATTCTTCACTGTTAAGACACTAACAGTAGCAGAGAGATGATTCAATATTTCCATTTCTAATTTTTTTCTCTGTGATAACTCTTTGAAAGTTAGGGGAGTTTATTTCTTGATAATTATGCCGGAATGTAAATTAGGCAGGTCGACGGGTCAGGAGCTAAGGAGGACTAATATGCATGCAAATCTCGTGCGCATCTGTCTCTGTGTCGGACGCTTAGTAGGCCAAATATGCATGTAAATCTCGTGCAGCTGCCTTTGTGTTTGACGTCAGTGGGCGAGGACTATTGAAATTGGCAAGGGAGACATGTTTAATTTCAATCGATTAGTCTACAATATTTAAAGTCTAAATCTACAATTTTATTTCACAACGAAATGGAAATATAAGGAATCATTTTCTAGTTAGTGTAGTATGCCAGGGACATCAACGATAGTGGGAAACATCGGATAATTTATGCATAACGGGCTTCACCCGTTATGCAAATTATCCCATGTTTCCCACTATCGTTGATGCCCTGGCATACTACATTAACTAGACAATGATTCCTTAAATGTTCAGGGTACAAATCTCTTTACCTGCTGACAAAGGCCTGAATAGGTTCAATGGTGGTCACATCAACCTCAGAATCTTCCTCATCAGGTCCTGAAACAACAAATACATTTAATTAATGTAATTACTTGTACACTGTATCTCATAAGTGTAGCATACCATGTCTATGGCTTCGTCAATACCTGTACAAAAAATATTGCAAAGTAAAAAAAATTGTCTTTCTTGTAAGGAATTTTCCAGCAAATAACACTTTCATCCAAACACCCAAAGATGACTGTTTTATGTTCAGACAGGAAACTTTAACAAAAATGTCTTGGACAGCCTGTTACATGTTATAGTCAATTGCCTTGACTAGGAATTATCTTTGTGGAGGCTTGCATCAAGGACTCAAGGGGCCCGTTTTACAAAGGAACTTACAACCAATTTTATTCTGTTCACAACTTTTTTACATTTATTGTTTGAAAATTGTTTTAATAATCTTTTTAAAAAGGAATTTAGCAAGATGTTTTTTATGCTAACAATTTCAAACTGAATCATAAAATTTACAAAAGTTTACAATCAGCTAGTTTTGGGTCTTAGTCTTAAGTTCTTTTGTAAAACAGACCCAAGGTAGCATCTATGACTGTCATTCAAAATGCATAACAGAGTTTAAAAAATGCATAGCCTTCACTATCTGACTTTGAAAACATTAAATTTCAAAATATGAATTTCTTTTGAATGAAATTTATATCATCTTTTCTATAATAAAACTCACCTTTAGTTTCCTCTTTTTCTTTGTCCTCGTCCTCGACATCAAACTCTGACTCTCTCTCCTCATACTCTACGTTCTCATCTAATTCCTTAAAATCTGGTGCAAACGCACTCCAGTTTTCCTATCAATACCAAGGAATGGTAAAAACACATCATGCTAGATTTTAAGAGTACCGGTACAAGTGAATACATGATTATTTTATCATTTTTGTGCACCAAGTACTGTATGAATACTTACAACTTGATTTTGAGCCCATATTGATACCAGACCACTGGATATTGAGGCTATGATTGGTCGTACAGGATGCCACTGCAATGAAATACTTATATAAAAACCTTACGTTCTGTTCTTCATTAACATGCCATGATAACACAGAATGCTCTCTGTATAGATGTACATTTGTAATGAAGTTTTTGTTTACACCAGCATTCCTTACCACCACATCCAACAGAAGTTCTCCTTTAGTTCCGTGGAGGATTTTGACCAGATTGCCAACACTCTTCTCCCAGATGTAGAGTGAGTGCTGTCTGGCGGACCCCGCCACAATGAATTCCCCATCCCCAGAAAAACAGCATTTCTTCCACAAAAGCCTGGGGAGAAAAGTAGTTAATTTTTTTTTTATTGTTATTCTATGTTTTATATACAAATTACTGAATTTCAAATTCAGTTATGTTTCTGAAAAACGCAGGTGAAAAGTAATGGTCATAGGTCTTGCATTTTTGTTCCTTTGTAAGGACAATTTTTTATGACAATAAGTATCAAATCTGTGACATTTTTAAGAAGCTCTGGTGCCTTACTTGTTGACCAAGTCCTGAAGTTTTTGGATCGGCTCTGGCTCTCCATCTTTACCACAGGCCAGGACCTCCCCACTCTCGTAAACTCGGATGATACGGTCCGCTGAATTAACCAGGAAACACCTGCAAAAGGTGTTCATACAAGTATAAGATGTACACTCACTTTCCACATCAATAGCATGTTCAAAACTTCACTTCAGACTTAACATTTAAATACAAGCAACTTTTTTCATGTGCACAAAAGAAATCAGAAACTTACTCCCCCCTTCTAGCAAACTCAATGGATTTAATGGCAGTTGTGTTGAGTGTTCCAGTTGTTACCCTAAACGATGCCTTCAGATCCAAATTGTTGCAGGTAAATACCAAGATCTATCAAAGAAATGAGTTATAACATAAACATCCATGTATATATAAAATCCAGGTGCTGGACATGACACAGTACTGACAAGTGTAGTATATTTGAAATTGCATCAGAAAGAAGACATTAATGAGACTTACCCTGCCCTTGGCATTTCCTGTGTAGATGTGTTTACCTCTTCTGTCATAGGAGGCAACAATGTTCAGGTCAGACTAAAACAGAAAACATACCCCTAGATGTTCAAGCAAAGCTACTCAATCTTAAAAAGAGAAACAATCTAATATTCACATAAATATGAATGCCACGCAACAGCCTGAAACCTAAAATTATTCATTCCAAGTTCTGTTTTTCTGAAAATGATGAAATGTTCCCTTGATAGCCTATGGATTTCTTTGGCTATAATCTTACATCATCATCCAATGGGACAACTCTGTGTTCTCCACTGATGTTCATTAGTACAGCAGGGTGCTTCATTGGACACACAAGAAACTGTTTACTGGAAAAACAAAAGCATAACTTTATTAATTATAAACAGAATATACAAGCATTCCAGAGATTTGAAATGAAATATGTACATGTACTATAAATTTGCCAGTTTGGCTTTAGATATCTACAATCATTTCTCATATATATTTCAAATTAAGATATACATTGTAGAAACATTTCAAACTAATCAATCTACCATTAAAACTGTCAAAATATTGAGAAGAGATGCAAAGCAACTCATTATATTTCACTTCTACTACATGTACATTTCAAAAAGAATTAAATTACTCAATCAGCAACTGTACCTATCACGGGGATGAAACTGCACTTTCAGGATGGGGGAAGGAAACCTAAATGTTTTATCACACTCTGCTGATACCACGTCCCATATTGACGCTGTGTTGTCTGTTGCTGCACTTAACAGTTTCTTTCCATTTCGACTCCAGCTAAAGAAAGTAGAAAAAAAAAAATATTTTTCATATTTTCTTCCTGATATATTGATTTAATTAGCATACATGTAATACCAGAGTACTATTTTTAAATATCACTGGGCAATAATTAATAGTAATAAGGGATATTCATAAATAAAGGTTTTAAAATGATGTGTTAATTACAATGAACTTTGTTTTTTCAAACTTTGATAAATATTATTTAAAGAAATATGGGTTTTGTATCATAGATACAAATTTTAGGGTGGACGAGTGCGTAGCATATCTCACAGATTTTTCCCATCAAGTTCGACATAGTTTCAGACTTTTTGGGCCTCTCTCTATCAAGGAAGTTCTATAGAAAACACAGTGCTATATTCAATTAAATAAAAAATAATACATGTAATTTAAGGGCATGTACCTTAGACTGCATACAGGGTGAACATGGGCACTAATTATTTTGGCAATTCCTCTTGTCAGGAAATCCCAGATGACAATTCTACCATCGTTACAACCCACAGCTAATAAGGTTCCCTGTCTGTTGAAGGCACAGGTAATGGCAATGCTGATGCAGTCCAAGGCTCCATCAAAATCCTACGATTGAATGACATACATGTACCTCTTATTTACATAATCACTTGAAGATAATTTTGTTTGTCATTAAACAATTTATAATATCAACACTTTACAGATATTGAGATACTATTAATTACCCAAGTTCAATCAAGGGTATACAGGGATTTACTCTGGAGTTTTATTCCATACACCCTGAGACTGAAGGCCGAAGGGTGTGTGGAATACAACCCGGGATAAGTCCTCATACACCCTTCACTGGACCTGGATAACAAATTTATTTCCTATGTACCAATAAATTCTTTGTAAACATCAGAGTCTTAGCAACTGTGCCTCTAGCTGCAGAACTGTAGCTCTCTGCTTGAGAAAATTCGAAGAGATAAAGCAGAGAGCTACAGATCCAAGCATTGTAAAAACCTTCAATTTACACCGATGATTTTTTGTTGCTACTTTAGGCATTTATTGCCTGTAGTTGAAACTTTCTCTGGCTTTTAGAATTGTATCCTGTAATTAATCATATACAGTGGACCCTCATTTATCCGGACACTTTGGTTCCCAGTCAATTTGTCTGGATATGTGAAGCATCCGGATATCTGAATCACAAATTAAACAAGACAAAGTAACATTTAAAAATTTCGTTCTGATGAAAAATCGTCCGGATACTGAAGCATCCGGATATCTGGCGTCCGGATATCTGAAGGTCCACTGTATTAACTCTTATTTGTGATACTTTATTAAAAGTCTATTTACCTTTTAACTGTCTGAAACAGTTCTTTATATAGTTTTGTAATGTCGGTTTAAAAGAGTTCTATTTCGACATCCGTAACCACAAACAACCATTTGTTAGCCTTGAAAGGTTAGTAAATTATCAGGAATTGATGTTAAATGTATGATTAATTATTAAGTACAATTTTTAGAACTGGTGAAAGTATTAAATACAAGAAAAAATACCCGAAGTAAGCGACAAAACATCGTCGGCGTAAATCGAAGGTTTTTACAATGCTTGGATCTGTAGCTCTCTGCTTTACCTGTCCGAATTTTCTAAAGCAGAGAGCTACAGTTCTGCAGCTACTGTGCCTCAATCTATTGATAAGATAACTACGTACTAAAATGCATCATGACATCATTATATTTTCTCATCATAATTCATCGTAGAGAAAGTACACATTGTGCCTTCATGTTTTTATTTAACCCTGCCTCAAGTCGGGTGCTTGTGAAATTTACACCTGATGATGTCGTTACAAGCTACATGGGAAATAAAAAATGTTAATTTATGACAGGGTACTGTGCTGCAGGTTTCTATAGAGGGTGTAAAAATTGGCATGTATTTTGCTGGCTCAGATTCCATAACTGATTAAAGAGTTAATTTTGGTGAGTCAAATTTAAGCAGACTCAGAGTTTAGATGGTATTACAAAAGAGCAGTTTATCTTTTTGATGAGTTTTTATCCCTTGAAAACCATTGTTGGCCTCAATTTCATATTGCATGGTTTCTCACAATAATATCGCATGTAATTATTACCGTACCCAATACTGTATTGCACTAACTAATTGTTTCTTTTCTTAGTTTAAGTAATTCAGGTCCTAACTACAGAATGCAAAACCTGTAATTAAGTACACATACCTCTGGGTAGTTCTGCCCAAAAGATTCTATAAAAAGAAAAAAAAATGAATTAAATTCTCAATCATTAATTTACTGAAGGATTGGAAAAAGTTTTTAAAAAAGATCATGATTAACCACAGTAACGTCACTCACAGTAAGACAATTAGTACCCGTTGTTTAAATCCTCTAAAAATATTAATTTATCAACCCAGATATTAAAAAAATACTGACGAGGCAATTCGAAATATACCAAGTTATCAATCTGATGGTAGATAATTCTTATTATATAAGTCAATGCATCTAGTTGTCTAAATATATATATAAACTACAAAGATTATACCTAAAAGTTCCAAATTCATATCTTATAATTTCTGATTTTCCATTTGAAAAAGCATTTCTTTCAATCTTTCATTCTTTGGCTTTGTGTTTACTAGTCTGGTCCCCTTCCCACAATTCCGTTCGCGCACTCTCTACATTGAGGTCAGGCATCGGTTGATTCACTGTTAGACGTTGCGCAATTTCAAAATGGCGGACAAAGTAAGTAACCATCTCGAGAAATAATTGCTCATATCTATTTGTTTTACATCATGACAACTTATTCCATCAATGCTGACTGTTAACCAAAGTTGTTTTCTATTTATTTTTTTTATTCATTTGATTTATTTTGCGTAAATTTACACTGTTATCACTGGATTAAAAAATGTTTACATTTTGAGAACGTGGAGGTAATCAAAATTGACCCCCAATATTTCCTTTGTCGTGGACCGACATCAAAATTTTATTGTCTAGTCTAATGTATATATGAATGATCTGTGTTAGGATATACAATGTTTTATATGTCGCTCCTTATTTAATATAGTAAAAGCACCCCAGATTTCTGATCATAATTCTATCAACAATAAGCACGTGCTCTGGCCTACTATTGCATATATTTGACATAAAACAAAGGTTTAACGCTTCTGTATTGTTTGTATTTTGCTTGTTACACACATCACAACAATTCTCACTCACAGTCTCAAACTGTGATCCAAAGTATCCAGTCAGAAACTGTCTTAGAACTGCAGGTGTTAGACCTAACAAATTCTTTTACGTTATACTCTTGAGTTTGGTTTTCAGTCAAGATTTTTTTTCCAAATATGGATATTTATATATATATATATATATATATATATATATATATATATATATATATATATATATATTTTAAATTGTATATAAACATGATAAATGCTGTGGAATTATTTTGATGTGACTGTGGAGGTCAAGTTTGTGGACAGACATAAATATGTAATTTTGTTTTGTGTACAGGACATAATTTATAAAGGTTAACCAAATAATAATTAAATGAATCCCTGGACTTATAAAATATCCAAATAAGCATTTGTGGAATTAAAAATGTAGCTGATTCACTTATGTTCAATCCAAAAATGTCAGTCCTCCTTCCTCAAACAATGATGATTCCATAGAAGAATAGCTGCAGAACTGTTAGCTCTTTGAAAAAATATTTTGACAGACCTGAGAGCTACAGTGCCACCCACTTAAAGAACTGTATATTTATTGTGCACAAAATTTGTGCTTGGTTCTGTATTAATTCTTCCTTACTTCTCTTAGTATCAAGTACTCTCGTAGTTTACAACTGCATGAAGCATTGTAAGACCGAAATATTTTGCAAACCAAAATGGTAGTATAAATAGATGAAATTTCGATGATCTCAAATATCAGGTCCAGGAGGGCTACTAACTTCAATTATAAGGAATGTTTTGTTGTGGAAACAGTGAAAAAATATGTTAGGAACACATGGTTAGTAATATTTTGACATGACGGTTTAAAAACATGGAGCAATAAATCAAGAAACATTTCTTGTGTGCAATATACATGCAGTTTTTTTTCAATGGGTGGCACTGTAGCTCTCAGGTTTGTCCCCAATATTTTTTTCCAGAGAGCTACAGTTCTGCAGCTAATAGAAAAATAGAGCTCTATCAGTAAAATAGACAAAGTAAATTCTCATTTTTCCATGAATTAAGACTTCTGCTATGCAAAGTAAAATAATACCCGGTACTGTGCTTATTGCTATCATGATTTTATTACAGCTTGTTTAATAACAGATTTTTAAATGAGTCTCAGAATCAATTACTTTGAACATCAAACACTTTGACACTACAGGATATCTGATGCTGCATGGTGTCCATGTTATGAAAAAGAAGATATGAAACAAAAGCCTGTGAGAAAATGTCAACATCAATCATTTATGAATGAAGATGGAGTCTCTATCCTAAAATTTCTTGCGATAATCAGTGTTGCCTGGTTCATCCAATCAGAATGATCACTCCATTTGCAGACTATCAGGTATTTTTTGGTTCTGTCAATACTTTGGACCTGAAAAAAATATTAATTCAACATATTTAAATCCGTCATACAGATTTCAGTGTATGAAAATACTTTAAGAAAGTCTGTCTGTGTGTTAAGTAAAATTTCAAGGTATAATAAAAATTCAGATCATGCTTATCATATTACATGTACAAGTAACAAGAACTGTTTAACCTATTTAAAACTAGAGGTACTGTGAGCAATGAGCTCACTAAATAATACCCCCCGCCTCCCATATGAATATAATGGCAGTATCCATGTTTTGCTCTGTAAAATTCGAAATATATGTCAGATCAAAAAGTGAAATAGGAGGTGCACAATGGCAATATGTAATAAAGATTCTGTGAAAGTTTCATTAAATTTCCTTCATTGGTATGAGAGGAGTTGCGGATAAGAGAAGGGTACCCCAAAGCGTAACAGACGGACAGACGGACGGACGGACAGACAGACGGACGGACGGACAGACGTACAGACGGACGGAATTAACGATTACTATATACCCTCCCGCTTTTCAAGCGGGGGGTATAAAAATGCATTTACGTGGTCATTTCTCATTTTCAGGTTCCAATCTGAAGTATACAAAGGAAGAGTAAAATCTTTTTCATTCCTATTTACAAACACCTACTAGATCCAGAAGAATATCCTGATTGTTTTGTCCACCATAAGATGAATTTCAATCTGACACATAATTCTGAAAAATTGAGTGGAACACCATGATCACTGGATGGTCTTCTTCAAGCTGGCATGTCTTTGTCACAATATCTCGACTCTGCATTGTCATCAAAACTTTGCATTCCTTAAAATACAAAGACAGTTTTTATAAACTAAAACAAAAGACTTGATAAAAAGGCTAATATTAAAAAAAAAACATGTTATTATTTACCCCATTTTTTCCCTTTTTAATTATTTTATGAAATTAAAACCCTTGCGAAAATTAGAACCTGCGACTTACTGTCAAGCAGAGGTGTCCGGAAATAAGACAAACGGCTCCTTGAGGGTAGGATAACCGGATGATGTAGATCAGTCACTGCGACAACAGAAATAGAACCTGTGTCAGCCGTGAAGTCACCTTTAGGAAGAATGCCGAGAATATCTGAATGCTATGGATTCATGGTGTCATCATACTGTATATATCCACCACTGAAGCCTAAGATATAAATGTTCAAAAGCAATTGTAGTGATCATATTTCTGGTATTCCTAAAAAAATGGTTTTATCTTCTATATTTTATTGATAAGCACCACTGTGACAGCAAATTTTTAAGTATTTTGTGAATAAAAAAATTGAATCCACAGCTTTTGATTTAATTTGATTGTTTGTTTACATTTGCTTGAAAATTTATCGGGTAATTAAATTAGAAATAGCGGTAAATCTATTTCTGCATTATTTACCAATGGGACAAACCCCTCCTTGGCAGTAGATACAATATTTTCCATACAATATTTTCCTGCAGGCCAGCTTGGCGAAATTCTATTTTCTTCCATTTTCTTCTTAGCACAAAATTTGTAAAATGTAGAGGTGGGCTTAAAAATGATGTCAGCACTAAATGTGGAACTTGTGTGCTCCATCCTGGTGTCTTTAAGATGATGTGTAAAACTGCCTTCATAAAACCCACTGAGACTGCCAGTTACATGTATCCAGGTACTTAATCTGGTAAAGGTGTCAGACGGTCAAAGGTGATGATTGTTGAAATCATTCGATCTGAAGAAATAAATAATAGGTACCAAAAGCTTTTCTGAAATTAATTCATCTTATTCTTTAATCTATTTAAGATAAACATGTATTTGTTACGTTTGCTTCCATTTGGCTAGGTTGACATAGGACTTATTTGACCTTGACCGTGTCTTGGAGAAATAACATAATAAAGTCATGATGGAGCTAGTCTTTTGGCACTCCAAACTTTTATGCCGAGTATGCAGATTCAATTTGATGTATAATAATGATGGAATTTTTGAAAATAAAAGAACATTTTTTAATTTTTTGTACAATCCCTATCATCACCGGACTTTCAGAAAAGTGTGGCATTCTCGACACTACATATACGTAGTTAAAGTATCCCAAATGGCAAATAGATTCTCATTTGTTAAGAAATTAAAAACATCAGAACTTTAAATTTTTGTTGACGACGATGAAATTACCTAAGTCATACCTCTTTGCCGTGCGAGATGCTGTTATTGAATATTTGTTACACGTTGACATTCTCCCAAATTCTATCCCATATATATTTCAACAGTGAATGAAAGCTTTGTAAATTTCAGATGCTTAATATGTAACATCCAGAACACCACATCTTATTGAAAGCCCAAGGATAACAGAGAATTGTATATGTACTTAAATAGTTAAATACCCCCCATCAAAATGAGTCGGACATCCGGTAGAGGGATCCAGACCCTTGGGACAGCGACAAGTACACGTGTACTTGACAAACGCGGGGTAACCAGAGTTGGCACAGGTCAAAGAGAAACTGGTACACTTCAGACCTATAAACAGAAAATAGTGAACTGAACTAAGGAATTTGCTTAATTTATATTGCTGGGAATACAAGATAACTTCTCTATATCTGTGAATTCACAATATCAATCATGGCATATTTGTATTTAACAAGTTTAACTGTATGAACTTTGACTTGCTTTTTGAGTGCTGATATATACCATATTAATTTGCATATTATTCCTTTTGTAAATTTGTAAAATAATTTATTATTACTTTGACTTACTCTCCTTATGGCTAATATTATTTGAACTGATAAATTTGTTTCAAGGTTATACCATTGTTGTCTTAATTCATTGAATTGTACTTACAATAAGATTGCAACCACGCAATGACTTGGAGAAAAGGACAAACATTTTAAGGTGTGCAAAATTAATTTACATGAATTACTCTGCAAGTTTAAACTGTACCACCTTAATGGGCTGTAGAGGGATTGTTCCTGTTAGGCTTCCATGCTTCCATGCTCTCTTTGGCTGACCATCATGTCTTTAATACAGGGCCAAAATACAAAATACCTTTGTTTCCCCTAACGCGACCGACCCAATTAAATCGCACCGACTGAAAAGATTTTTTAAATAAGAAGATTCAATTATTTTTTTTATTGTTAACTAAGTTTCATAAAATACAATTTCATCAAAATCAGATTTTAGCAGAACGGCCGACAATGTTCTACTGTGATTTGTTGAAGAAAATGGCGCCAAAATGTGATTACTGAGAAAAAATTCTTAATAAAACAACGGCGACGTCTCAATCTTATGCCTTTAGCTAACTAGAATTCTTCACTCTTGAAACAATTTGATAGTA